GCGATGCGCGCCAGCCCACCATATCTGCCTCGATGCGCCTCGCGTCAGCCCCCGCGTACGCCACTATCAACCCGTATCAGTTCACCAACACCCACGCACGCAGTCGCCTGCATCAAAGGTTGGTCAATGTTCACAGGCTGAATCTGAGGCCTTGAGACCCAGGAACTCGGTCGTGAGGTGGGCCTAATGTCTTACATGTCTTATCGCCAGGCTTTCGGCGCAGCTACAGACATCCTTGACAACAGACCGCGGGAAAACTTGGGTTCTCGAGGCAGACAGCCGCCGATTCGCTCGGATCATAGATCCTATGCGCATCTACATGACCGTGCCTCGAACGCTGCAACACCATTGAGCTTATCTCGGACCTTCGACTAAGGGAAGACGACACCTCAGGCCATCTCCAGCCATGTTCGCGTCGGTGCGCGATATATAACATCGCTCTTTACATCCCAAAACGTTCAACTGATCCCGTCGCCAGCATCCCGGTACCGCTGGTGGCGCACCGCGATCCCGCCTACACCACGCCTCCGGGTTGACGCATTGGAGCCTCCCACTGCCGCGAACACACTATTCATGCTGGTTCACGTCGTTTTGGCTCGATGTCCGTACCTTGCAGGACCTTCTCCGCAATTGATAACGTGTGGATTGTCTAACCGGGATTGCCAGACGGCTCCATCTTTCCCCGCATTGTTCACATCGTGGACCGATCATGTTATTGGATTTACGGAAAATGGATGGCTGAAGACCAAGCTTCATCTAAGACTGCGGAACCGCGATACAGCTCTTGGATGTTCTATCTCTTGGTATCAACGTAGGAAACTGGATCACATCGCAGAAAGAGGTAATGTGGAGCAGTTGTCGCATACTGACCATCGCAGCTGATAGACCGAACAACACGGTCCTTCCCCGTCGGAAAACACATTCCTTGTGAAAGCGCAACACCCAGACCTGCCTTACTTGGCGGAGAAACGCCCAGTATGGAATTGACACATGTGATCATCGCTAGACATGCGCTATCTATCATGACCCCCGAGGCCGTGGTACGGTACACGTTTCTGACGTTGCGCTGTCGCGAGCCAGACGCCCGTCATGTGGAAGGGTACCACTGGAATCTTACGGTACGCTACCGCGGTTCGTGTGCGGTACGCTTGCGGCTCGAGATATCTCCGTGAGCGATCTGACGTAGGATGGTTTGTCTAGATTCACCGGTGCTGTTCCCCTCCAGTTGAAGATGGGTGGACAGTAGCAGTAGTGTACCTGTGAGTATAGCGGCCCTGAGACTTTTGACCCGGCGTAGAATGCGAAGCATACCAGACCGTGTAACTCGGGCTGAATCAAATGCTTGTCTATAGATTGATAGCTCATTCGGTTTCGCCCTGTAGCATTGATGAAGCCATGTGCGATCAAGTCCACAGAAATCATGTAGATAGTCTTCATCAATCATGGGATGGATGATCCGATTATCTTCAAATTCACTTGCGTAAACCGCATAAGAATCAGACATTCAGCTTAATAACAATGTTTCTACGAATCCTACGTCTACTATCTTACGTCTTGCCATGAAGCACAGCTATCTATGTCTATTCGCAAGCTATGCCACCCTCTCACTTAACATCCTGTGCGATACCAGTTTCATAGCCATGCCCTCAACAATTGTTATCTCCCACCCTCGTCAGAAAAACACATGTATCGCACTGCTATCTCTCCTAGTGCTATTGCCTACATACCACAACAGCATCCCCATTTCCTCAGCCTCACCACGTGCAACCAACAGCGCTAACACCCCATCCGGCCCGTCAGCCCACACGGCCCTTCATCCAACTTCGCCCCCGAAAATCGGGCCGAATGCCTCCACGCACACCAGCTTCGCTTGCGTCCACGTGCGCTCTGGCCAAGAACATTGGCTGGATGCCCAACGCAGCCACGCCTTTTCTCACTCGTCGCAATACCTTGTGCGAGGTAAACAATAAGGCCGAGTCTGGGGTAGATGAACGGGACAAGAAAGTCGTCTTCGACATGACATCATGCGGAGAGAAATGTCGTAGGGTGTGGGTGAGACTGCTGCAGCTGCGGCGTGGCGTGGGACCGGAGTTGGGCCGAAGTATATCCTGGGGTACGTACTCGTAAGACGAACCACCGGGTGTTGAGGTGTTTATGTTTCACCGGGGGCGGTGGATTGTGTGTGAAACTCCGGGGTGCTCGTTGCAGTATGGTGTTGACGTCCGGGCTTCGATATGTCCGTTGGTGTTTTCTGGAAGTCGCATGCCGTACCTGCACCTTCCGTACTAGCCAATCCTACTGTGATGTCTTACTTCGACATACTGTTCCTCATCGAAAGCCATACAGCTGCCCTATAGCTTCCTGCACATCCACAGTATTCAGCGTAATCCGCGGTCTGGGATCCTTGATGCGCGTGAAGATTTCGAAAACGAAGTGCGAACCCAGTGTAAGAAGTAGACAAGGTATGACGAGGCGGCTGAGTATACGACCCCACGATATCCGTTCTTCTTGCACCTTCTTCTCTTTCAGGTACTCCTTTTCATCTGTGGTACTGGCTGTTTCCAAAGGTATCGATGTCGCTTCTAGAATGGTTCTGTAACTCAGACGACCGAGCCAGATGTGCCATCCTAGTAGCATAGTCGCAGCGGCTGCGATGCTCATCCATGAGGTCGTCGCATAGGGTGATTGCGCTCTTCGACCCAGTAATTCGTATATCTCGTCTAGGCCTTGTACCGCGCGGTGCATGGTAAGTGGAACGAAGAGCATAGCTGCTGCGAGCGCGACGACTTCTAAGCCGCGCATGCTGAGGCGTTTGAGAAATGTTGTTTCGGCCTTGCGGACGTGCCAATGCGAAAGTAGAGATAAGAACTCATGTGTGCGCGGGTGTGTGGTTGACATTGTTAAGAGCATGGCGATGGATTTGGTCGTGTCCTTTGGTGAAAGTCTGGCGGGCGCGGTGATGAGGTTTAAGAATAATAATAAGTTTGGGTGGCGGCAGCAATGGCGATACGATGCTGCAGATTCCTAGCCACGAGCAAGTTTCGTGAGAACCTTCGATATGGTGGATCGACGGTGTCCTGCGGGATTCGCGTCGTTGTCGTCGTTGTTGCTGTCTTTGTCCGGGGCTTCCCTTCCAAGGTTCCTCTTCGTTTGTAGGTGTCTCTTGATGCAGCGCTGTGTCGCAATGGAAGTAACGACTCCTACTTCTTTGCCTTCACGTCTTTTGGCTCCCTCCAATCGCTACTTCAATGTCAATTCGAGTCGCCTCCGCTCCTTTCTGTCGCGTCCTTCGCCCGAGTATGACGACTTTCCCACGCTCTTGGCTCTGCGATCCGCACACCAGGCGCAACAAGAATCACAGCGGCGCAACCCGTCCTCGACTCAATTGGAACGTCCTGCTCAGTCTGTCTGTCGTCGCCAGCAAAGTTCCCCTGCGTTGAATCACACGTCGCGAAAACCACGTTGCGCGATCAACCTCGGCACTTCGCGTCGTATCCTCGTAAACCCGCTGAACGTAAAATCGGTGCCAAGCCCCTTTTTCGCACAGTCCCTTACCGCTCTTCCTTACTGCAAATCTTATGCCGTGCCGTCCGCAACAAAGATCCTCGCACTTACAAGCGCTCGTACAACAATAACGGTTCCGCGTGCAGACGTCGTGTAACAGGGGAAGAAGGAATAGAGTTGGATGATGATGCTTACAACCACGTAGCCGTCCTCGGGAGTCTTACCAAGTCTACGCCTTGTGATCCGCACTGCGCCGCAGCCAGCAGCAAGTAGGCTGCCTTGCTGAGGGGCGAGGTAAGCGTTAAGGGTTGCCCCGCATCTGCAGCCTTGCGTCGCTAGCTGTTTAGCCTCGTGTTGTGATTGGTGCCCGGGCAGAAAGCGTGCCTGTGGCTGGTTGAGAGTATGAGATGTGGAGATTGGAGTTACGATGCGAGAGGAAGGTGAGTACCTAATGGAACGAGATGATTCGTGTGGTGCGATGGAAGATTTGGGTAATTGAGCTGTTATGGTGTGATAGTCATTCCAGAACTATTGCTTCTTCCTAACGCGGAAGTGTGCTGCTGGCTTCATGAGGTACATGACTGCGAGAAAACAAGAGGTCTAAAAGTAACAGACAACCACCATCTACACTTTCTATGCGACAAACAACTTCAAGAAGCCAGGCTGCAGTATGAGAGGTCGCAAGGCGCTACGACTGGAAGTCCAAGAGTACAGAACACCGACAAAATGCACGCTAAACTATCAATTCATCCACCACATTTGCGCGACGTGTGCCATGTCAGTAGAGATAATCAAGCGCCAGGCCCATGATTCTCAAAGCTAACAGCCCTTGCACGCATCGGTTGCTGCAATCCAGCGTCACCATATCCCCTCCCTTCATAATCATTTTCAGTCATAACACCCAAGCTCTTCCAAGTAGCCTTTTCTCTCAGGTCACCATTCTGGTGATTGTTATCATACAAGCTGGGTGTACTCGCTCGCTGAACCGTGATACCAATGCCTAGCCCTTGATTCCTGGGTAGAGCACTGGTAGGTGTGTTTTCGTACGAGAAGTCAGCCGTGTTGGCCCTGCCGCGGCCATGCCCTTCGTGATTACCTTCGTCTTGGAGTGTGGCTTCACTGTCAACCGCTGGGCCGGGACTGTGACTTAGCATTCTAGCCTTGCCGTTTGATGGACCTGTGACAAAGCCGCGGGGCTGAGGCGGCGAGTCTGCGAATGGTGTGTACGCGGTTTGAACTCTGTTCAAAGGAGGTGTTGGTGTGTGGCTTCGGCTGCGAGGCGCGCCTTTGGGTGTGCCGCCAGGGCTTGGTGCGCGGCTGGGGTGTTTTGATATGAGACCACCAGTTTCGTTGTCGTCGCTGTCGTTGTTCAGGGTCCTGTTACCCCATGAGATATCGCGGTTGTGCGAGTGACGTGGATGGCGGCTCGTGTATTGTGCGACGACAAGTAAAATGTTATCAAAAAACAGTACTGGCAAAGAAGTCAGCATATGATCTCAGTCTCTCGATAACAAATGTGGAGGACATTTACCTGTAGCAAAGAACAGCACCACTATGGGAATCATCCAATGACTCCCCTTGAATTTGAACCCACTGGTGGTCTTGTCCGCAATGACGACAGAGATTCCCAGGATGATAAGCGTAAAGCCGACAACAACTCTGTTGATGATCTCGCCGAACTCATACTTCGTCTTGTGAATCTTGTTGAACCAGTACATGATCGCAAGCACCAACAGCAGACAGCCTGCGCCGATGAAGAACTGCATGGTAGTGGTGTTGAAGACATCGGAAACAGCATCTAGCTTGTTCCGCGGACTAGCTGTAGTCGCGGCAACGGCGTTGAGCTTCGCAAGAGAGTCATAATGTGCCTCGTACACGAAGACTTGCGCCCTGTCGAACATGTGACGGACAACGTTGCCGGTTCGATTGTTCCATTCGTTTGATTTGAAGCCGTACATTGCGGTGTAATTCTCAATCGCAGTGAAGTTCGTGTTCCAGTTGTATGTAGTGTTCCAGGCTTTGCTCTTGAATCTCCCGTTGATAGCGTTCATGCTCTGATTGAGGTAGTCGATGTAGCTGTCGGTGTCGGAGTAGCCATTGGCTGGGTCGTAGTAGTTCTCGGGTTTGAACGACCAAATCCACTTAAGAGCTTGCACGGCTGAGTTCCACACGATGAGAGAGGTGTTGCCTTCGACGCAGAGGAGAATTGCTGAATGCAATGGATAGTGTAGTAGAGCCCATACTTGCTGACGCACGGTTCCGAAACGATCATGGGAAAGCTGATCGAAGTACAGCATCCAGAGAAGATACTAAAGGCCCAATTAGCGCTGTCTTTGAGTTGTTAGGTTCTTGTCTGCATACCAAGAGAAGAATGGCCGCGATGACAGTTCCAATCTCACTCATGTTGTTGCTCGTTTGGCTTTTGGTAATACATGCCACGCTCTTGACCATTCCGATGATACCCTCCCCAATGATGATGAGTGTAAGGAGTTGCAGCCGCTCCGCTAGATGAGTGTACTTGAAACTGATGATGCGCCAAATCATGGCGATGAGAAAGATGAGAAGACCTTCAATGATGGATATCATGACCCTACGCATTCTGTTAGTCTAGAAACCGAACGCGGAGTACACTACATACCATGCGAGTTGTTCCTCAAGACCAACACGGCCCTTGGGAAATACAACCATGGTAACGGCATAGCATATCGCTGCAGCAGCATGTACACCTGCACTGAGCCCTAACGGAATCAATGTCTGGCGGAACATGCGACCTTGCCACATAACTACGGCGTATTGAACAGCGATTGCGATTCTGCCGATGACGAGCACGATAGCAAAATTCCGGTAGGATTTCTCGACACCGCTGGTGCTGTACTTGTCGAAAACGGGGCCGGCATACACAAAGCCTGTGAAGATGCCGAACTGTATGGCTTTGTGAAAACGGTTCCAGACGCAGTCGATGCTGAAGCGCACGTCGAAAAGTGTGACGCTCAGCCACGTAAACCACATAAGCGTGAACAGCTTGATGTAGTTGATGAGTGCTAGTAGTCTATTAGCTAGTGTATCCAAGATGTGAGAGCTGTACATACATTCTGCATCGGTATGCTGATGCATAGCTGTAAAGTACGCAAGATTGGCAACAAAGAAGAGATCGTAGAAGAGCTCGATCGTACTGGCTTCGGTGTGTTGTTTGTAAACGATGATATTTCCGCGACTTGTCCTGCCATTCCCAGCAAATGTAGCCGTGTCGTTCGAACTGTCGAGCGTGCTTGTGTGGGTGTTGACCTTCTCCAAATCTGAAGAGTTACCCGACACTACTTCGAGGACATCTTCGTTGATCGGACTTGCAAGTAGGGGCAGATAAGTCCTGTCTTTCCCATGCGCTGCGTGAGTACTGTTGTGACTGCCGGTAGTCTTCCGTCGTAAACTGAAATAACGTGCAAGATCCATGATGAAACAAATGGAAGGAACTGATGATCGTGGGTGGTGGTACGACTGGATTGATGAGAGAGCTGAGCAACAAGGCAGCTACAATACCTGAACATATATACAAGACGCCAGCTACGAGGAAGCTGCTTCGTGACGGTGAAACATCTGGTCAGATCGCGTCGGTCCGTAATCGACGACGAGTATCAGTAAGGCCATCGCTGTATGTGATAAGCCTTCGCCCCGTAACATGGCCAATTTAAGAGTAGCATGGCTGTGGTAGAAAGCTTAAGTGAGCCATCTGTACCGAACGATCGTTTAGATCTGTGTATCTGGGGGGCCGTTAGGTCCTAGTATCACGCTTCTAGAAACAATACCAGTGGGGCGCAGGCAACGGAAACCGCGTTGTGTCAACGGAGAGGCTTGCATAAGAGCGAATGCATGCCAGGAGAGGTTGTGTGATCCGAAGAGTATTCTTGAAGCTTGCACTACGGAGGCGTCGTTAGCTGTTGGCAAGGAAGCGCCGTCTGCCGTGAGCCTTGCAGATCTGCTGCATGGTGGTTGTTGCACGATACACCTCTGTGTATCGGAGATCGGTAAAGCCAACCATGGCGTCGGTGTGAGCGGTGCAGGAGCATTGAGCCGTGCCGATCTGCCAGGATGACTGCCAATGTCGGACGTACCAGCATGCGCCGCCAAGCTTTCAAATAAGCTCAGGGTGCACAAGTCTTCGGTCTCGCAAGATGCTGCGGACCAGGCTGAGAATTCGTTTATTCGCCGAACACTGTCCCTACTTCGAGCCTGCTGACGTTTGCCAAGACGGTGCACATGTCGCTGTAGCATGCCAAGCCCTTCAGCTGGCTGGTGGTGAGGTCTCAATTTGGAAGACTATGCCAGCGCAAGTGCCGGAAAGAGCGAATGAGATGCGAACAGCGAACCACGCCCTTCCAGACTAGTACACGCACACGCGCCTACCGTTCCATGTGGTTACACAGATGAAAGTAAAGGTTGTAGAGGTTAATGGTGTTCGGTTCGGCGATTACTAGCAAGCCGCGTCCTAAAATGCCTGCACAGTTTCAGCACATTTGAATCATTAGATTTCTTCTCCCCAAAGATATGCATATCCGCAGCTCAGTGACCAAAAGAGGAGCTTTGCCACTGAATTGGCTATTTCGAGAAGATGATCGGCAGGTGTTCGTGATCGAATTGAAAACGTCGCGAAGCCCTTGCTGGAAAGATTATGGCGTCCACGGTTGCTATCTTCGTGAAGGTTCAACATATTCACTGGCTGCTTCTTCAAAGTCCTCATCTGATGAGCTCTCATCGTCGTCTTCGTCTTCGTCTTGGGTGGCCTCGTAATCGTCGTCTAGCTCGTCATCGTCATCATCCGGAACGGGTGCACTTGGAAGTGGATGCCTGGACCGTAACACGCGACCGGTGCTGTTGGCTGCAGCATCAAGTCGGTTCACTTTGGCTCTCACTCTACCCTGTCTGCCTTCCCGTTCAAAGTTGAGGGGCCATTCCAGCTCGAGAGCCTGCTGCCGGGTGCCAGCATTATCCATAATCCAATTATACGGCTGCTTGAGTACGATCTCGGTACGAATGACGAAGGTTCCCCAGCCTCGAGCTTCGTACTCATAAGGTGGTTTTCGGATAATGACGTGGGATCGTCGGAATGTAGGATGCTGTTGTGTGTTAGCGCTGAACTAAAAGGAATGTGAGATAGGAATTTGAACCATACCAGATAAATGTGCACTTCCTTAATCAAATCCGGCCTCGACGTGCGCACAAAGAATGTCCAATCATGCTCGTTATCGTCACCAGCATTCCTAATAAGCCTATGCTTATTCCCTATGAGCATCATAACGCCCTCGAAGCCATCACGTCCGATACGTGACCCCCTCTCCTCTTCCTCTTCAACGCGCCTTTCAGCATACGTGATAGGATATTTATGTTCTAACTGTCTTGCCAACGCGTTATCCGGAGTTGCAGCAGTACGCGTCCTGCACATGGGACAGTCGCATTCGAGGTCGTACGTTGGATCGTAGTTCGGATCGAAGTCTTCGAGGTTCACGTCCCAGCTGGTGGGTTCGATGCTGTGCGTGTTGGAGGCGTCGGACCACTGTGCCATGCAGGACGCGCATAGCAGGTGGTTGCACTGGGTTTTTACGGGCGTGAAGAGGAGAAGTTGGCAAATCTGGAGTTTGTTAGTAAGAATACGCGTGTTCGCGGGTGGTACTTACGGGGCAGAGGTCATCGTGCGCGACTTGTTCCGGGTTCGATGGTGTTGCTGCTTCGGCCATGATGCCCAGGTGATGCGACGAGGAGAGCAAAAGGAAGATCAAGTGATTCCAGTAGGAGGGCAGACTTTAGCTGCCGTCCCTTGGTGCATTGGCGGCATGGCTCGCGTCGTGATGCTGTTATCGTCATTGGTTAAGGCGTCCTCCAGGCATCAGTCAGCGCCGCACGAATTAAGGCGGGGAGGCACGTCACGTGATAGCGCGTCAAAATCTACACAGCCGATATCAAAGAACACTTCCATTCCGCGCAACAGACGACTGACTGACCTATTAAACGATTCTCGCCGCGATACCCTCCCCATCTAACGAGATGTACTTTCCCAACATGAACCCTGCTCCGACCCTCCTATACCTCTTCTCGCCCCTCCCCGTCGTCCCCTGCGTCGCTGTGACAAGCAAGACGTAGTATCGCCTCAGCAAATTCGAGCTTCCGCCCTTCATTTTCGCGACAATGACACACTGAGTGACTTGGCCGTCGCTCGCGCTCGTCCTCTCAGCATCATACGTTATCTTGACCTCCTCTGGCAATCTCCCCGCTACTTTGAAGTCGCGGACCCGAGCTATGATGGCGATCTCGTCCTCCTGTGGACTGGTGTCTGTCATGGAGTGTTTGTTGCTACCACGAGTCCAAGGCGGGATTATCTCGGTGCGCTCCCAGTCTGCTTGATCGAAAGGCGGATCGATGTAGTCTATCCCACCTCGATACGCCATCCAGGACCAACTTGGGACTTTCACTTTGCGCGCTGCTGGGAACTCGATTAGTGGCATGTTTGGAAGATCTCCTTTTTCTTCGCCACGTTGCCACAAGAGACTTCGATGAAAGAGCCCACCGTCTTCTCTATCTCCATCGTCAAAGATGCCAAACGCTCCTCTTGTGTTGAAAGCGCTTTGCAAACGCTTCTCGAGACCTGCGATGGCAAAAGGACGGTCAGAGTAGCGTGTGAAGTCGAGACGAGAGTATTGCTTGTAGAGACCTTGGAAGTAAGCAATCTTTCGTGCGCGGTTGGCTCGCATGGCCTTGTCCGGGAAGTTTGGGTCGCCAAGGAAATCGGCCATGTTGCTGGGATTGGGTCAGTGATGATCAAGCAACCGTCAGAACGTGTCTTAACTTACTTGTGCAGTCTGGTCAACGTTTCGCATCGTACGCCTTGACCACACTCAAAATATGTCTGGTTCTCCGTGAAGTAGATGGTTCGCCGTGCCAGCGCGCGTTCTTGCAGTACCCAACCCCTCTTGTTCAATGACCCCCCAATCACATCCTTACTGAAATTGTCGATGGTTCTGCAAACATAGAAGGGCTTCCCGTTCTCGCGTGGAATAGTGATATACTCACGCTGTGGTCTGGAATCTAGGAAGCCATCACGCTGGGTGCTTGCTCGACTTGCAGCGAGCACGCAATACGCTCCACTGAAAACTGCTTCCATATTCTTGGACTCATCGTTGAAGTCTCCATGTTCACCTTGGATAATGCAGAGCGAATCTACCCACAGATAGCGGATGCCAATCTTCCGTGTGCAGTTGACAGCGTCATGAAAGGTCGCCGGGAGATGTCCTTCGGGAATAGCTTCAAGATGGTTATCTAAATTCTCTGGAAGGGTACAAAATGGTGTATACTTTGTAGTGTCTCCCCAAGGATGCGATAGTGCGATGTATTGTTTGCTTGAGATCTTATCCCACTTCGTTTCAACAAGGCGCAGCGTTGGCATATCAATAGTGCCCACGTCAAGCAGTCTTGTCGGCAGGCTTTGTGATAACCCTTGACATCCTGTGTGATGAGTGTCGCAATCTTCCAGCCAAAGCTTTATGAGGCTGAAAAACGTGTCTGATCCAGCTTCAGGGAGCTCAGGGAAGCCAACTTGGATTGGGCACGGGACGTCGGTTTCTGGTCCTCTGATCAGAGAAAGGACAGGGTATGAATCGCCCGTCATGATGATGTTTGACTGATCTCGCTGGAAGATCGCTCGATCTCCTTTGGGCTCCTCGGCTTGATTGTGAACTTCGTATAGCATTTTGCACAGATCGCATTTTGACGCACGATCTTCCAACGTTGATACCCGCTCGTCGATGCTGAAACCGCCTTCGAGGAAATCTTGTGCGGAGCATGTGCTACAAAGTTGATGAGAAATGCGTGATTGCGGTATGAACTCCTGCCCACCGATTCTTGCGACGACTTTGTCAGCGAAGTTATTATCGATCTGGAACTCCCAGTCTTTGAGTGGCGGAAGCGTGTAGTCAGCACCGATAGGTTTCCCAAGCACTCCACTCTTGAGCGACCCTGAAGGCGGCAAACTGTTCAGCGGGAGATTAGCACTGTTTGGCGAAAGCATTGGCGCTGTGAAGGTTGGCGTTCTGACATTCGCGCGATCTTTTCCAGTGAACATATAACCGGTCACGTTTCGCTTTCTCAATATAGCATCAAGCTCGTCCCGAAATTGCGCAGCAGTAGCTCGATAGTGCGTGACGGATTGACCGAGTGCTGGAGGAAGCAGAGGCCGACCACTCAAAGTCCCACTCTTCCTATTGGGCGGTAAATTGACGACCAGCAACATCTCGCGTACAACCTTGAGCAAATCTTTGATCGCCGAGATGCGTCCTGCTGAACACTCCGGATCTTTACTCTGTATGTGCTCCATCCACTTCAAAACTACAGGGTGAACTCTAGCACTCTCGGGTTCGCTCGCGTCCAAGACTTCGTAGTACTGGCAAATTTGTTGTGCATTTCCCTCGATCTGTTTGTAGAAGTTGGTCAATTCGTCGTTTCCGTATAAGATCCAGATGATGAACTCAAAAGTGATGCATCCCATTGACCAGATGTCGTAGAGCCGGGAGCGGGCATTCTCACCGGTAACAGTTTCGGGCGCTTCGTACCGCCGTGTACCGTATCTTGTGCTTGTCGCCTTGCCCCGCTCTTGTGTAGCTACTACGTGCCGCTTAGCTAGGCCCATGTCTGCAATCTTTAAAGTTCCCAAGCCAGACTTAAACCTGGTGTCAAGGAACCTCAGTATATTCTCCGGCTTCAAATCGCCATGCCTGATAGACTCGGCATGTCCCGCGTTCTTGTAGTCGTCCACTTCAGTGTCAAGTCCATTGTCGCTACCGGCATCGCTTTCGCCGCTCAGATGCGATTCCACAACGTTCGAGTCGTTCAGCCGTATTGTGAGGCCATTAACTCCGCGATCGGGTTCTGGACGCCCACCTTCGAAATTATGAAGTCGGTCTAAAGCATCGACAATTCCTCTGAGCTGAACAATAGTTTGTTCGATGATGTATGGGTTTGGTGCCTCTCGCGGCGTGTTGTCCCAAAAGTCGCGCAAGCTATCCCCATCAGCCCAGGGAAACATGAAGTAGCGACTATGGCCTCTTCGGATAGCAGCTATGCATTTCACGATGTGAGCATGGTTGAGCTTTCTGATAGCTTCTAGAGCAGTAGCTTCGAAGTTCCAGGCCCGGTCGGTTCCAGCAGCTTGCTCTCCTCCTTGCGGTACTTTGAGCTCCTTAAGCGCTACCTGTTTGGAAGTTCAGCAGGTGGAAATTGACTCGTGCCGCTGCCGACCTACCTGATGTATTTCTGGATATTCATGATGGTCCTCGTGTATTGTGACCCGATATACGGAGCTAAAAGCGCCATCCTTTGGAACTGCCCCATCGGAAGTGAATGGAAATATGCATTGCGCTTTCAGATCGTAGCTGTACTTTTGTTGGACGAATACTGGAGCCAAACACTTCCACTGGTTCTCTCGAAAGTTGACGATCTTGAGTTGATTCCAGATCTGCGGAGGAAATATATGTTGACTTGGCGGTTTGTCAACCAGTGGCAGCTTCTCGTCAGTGATCTCGCACCTCTGAAACATAGCCATGGCCAGTAGCAAATGATATGGTTCGAAGTCGCATTGAATGGTGATAGCGAATACCTTCGGGGCCTTGATACGGATCCATGTTGCGAGCTGAGACCGACGTTCGCGGTTCCACTTGTCAGCCTGCTTTGATGGAAATTTCTCGATCTTAGCCAGCTCCTGTTCGATAGCTGTCTGAACAATGACCTCATTGATCGCATTATCGGGTAAGTAGTGGCGATTTGGATCATGGAATGTTGCTACTACGAGACGACCGAGTAGAGTGCCGACTAGATCAGAGCCTGAGGTCTTAGGCGAGGTGAGACCTTCCAATTCTTCGTCACTCAATCCGGGCGCTAGAGCGAGAGCTTCGGCATGGTCCTCCTTGTTGTTGGTTAGGGTCTCGGGTCGGGTTGGCTGGATCGCACGCGCTATGTTGCCCCGCACGAGATAGCCAATGACGACTACGGCCAGGGTGAAGGCAGCATGGGCAAACATCGCGCTGGTTCGATTCGCATATGTATCTTCAGCTCTGATAGGAACATACGCGAACAAAGTATGCGAAGTCTTGGGTAATTGCTGTTCGAGATAAAATCGCGGTCTTCCAGGGACAATCCTAAGGGCCGGCAAAGCCAAGTTTCACGGACACATGTAACACCTTATGACATGCGGTTAATCTGCAGAGCCGCTCGCAAGCTGAAGCCCGATTTGTGATGGATGTGCGCCACATCGCTGAGATGATCAAATCAGAGTAGAGCTCCCGGGATGTTGATGCCGCGAGTGACGTTCAGCCTTGTGACGATGTTCAGCTCAGCTGCGAAAGACGGGAAAATGACCCGAAGCGTGCAAAGCATGCAGTTAATATTGGACCCCACAGGCGAGGTGCAGATGGACCCCACCTGTTCCCTGAAGCGCATGAACGCCTGCGTGGGAGAGGGCAAAAAGCAATTGTGCACACCGCTCGTAATTACAAACACAATAATCGACGTGCTCGTCGTCGTTGCATAGCCTCGCAATATGAACCGCAGATACCTGGACTCTCTCAGTACTTTGCCGAAGTATGAATGATGTGCAGCTGGCTCAGGCCACCGTAACAAAGAAATTCAATGCGCAAGACACCTCCAGACTAACCCCTAAGCTCCTAGAGCTTGCCTTGTAGGAAAAGATCTCGTTTGAACATGCGGCTCAAATCCTGTTTCTTGCTTCTCGACCGGTACAGTGTGCCGGTCGTCCCGACTAACGCATTTGAGGTTGTGCGAGGAAGGGAGACTTGAGCTCGGGAGTCTGGGTATACGGCTCGACCGTCTTCTTCTCGAGGCGATCGGTTGGACTGCCGGAGCTTCTGACCTCGGGCTTGGTGGTTCGTCTTGTATGGCCTCCTCCGATGCAGACATTATATATTGCTCAACAGATGAGGCAGTAGATCTCATGTTGCACCATGGGTTGCTCATCGTCGCATAATCTGCATTGCGACGACACCTGTCATACAGGGCGTTTAGCGATTGCCACACATCGATACAAGGCTTGCGCCCCATGGAATCAACTACCAGCATATCGAATTGGATCAAATTCAGTACGTCGTGCAGGTAAAGGGTGCAATTCTGGTGTCGATGTAGCTCATCGATGAACTATCGCATCTTGTTAGCAGCGCGAGATGTCGTCGAAGAGTGTAACGTACAGAAGTGACTCTCGGGTTGACCTTGGCCCGTATCCCAGCGGCTTCGGGGTTCTTATCGACTTCGTAAAAGGTGTCAATAGTTGTGAGTCGATCGAAGTAGTCAGTCATCTTCCTTGACTTCTTGAATCTCCTCACGAGCTCACGACCCCCTATCAACCAGGTCGCAAACTCAAGGTAAACGCAACCCAAACACCAGATATCATAGGACTGTCGAATTATCGATGGACGCACGTCGCACTCGGGGGGTCGGTATGTGAGTGTGTTAGGCACTTCACGACGATTGGTCTTGCTTTCCAGCGAGTGAATTTCTGCCTGTCCAAAGTCCGTGATCTTGAGGGTTCCGCGCAAACTTCGTTCGTCATCTTCATCGTCATCTCCATCGTCGTCATCGCCATCGTCATACCAGAGGATGTTGCTGGGATTGATGTCTCCGTGTCGACCGTATACCTTCTTTTGTGCATTTCCAGAATCATGAGTCTGATGGCCGCGCGGCGGTAGGCCGCATTCGCCAAAGTCAGCGAATGATTTGAGCGGACTCGTTGGACGCTCTTTCACACCGTTTGAAAGTACCGAAGAGCCTGTGTCGACACGATCACTCAACGGCGCAAATCGAACACTCTTCTCCGATCGAGTGATAATGTTTCCAGTGAGATCTGCAACATGTTAGCTCTGTAAAGAGCATGTTTTAGCAAAACCTTGCCCGCAAAGTGGGGACAGGGCAATTTGCTTCAACTCTAAAGCTCTTTTCGAAAGTACGTACCATGTGAGTCCTTCGCTTGCTCCTCCTCGACCTTGGGCTGAAGTTTGGTGAACGAAAGTAGCTTGTGGAGTTTCGACAGGCCCTCGGCAAGCCCGCTGCACTGCTTGGCGAACCACTTGACATTGCTGTGTTGGAGAGTCGGATGTGGTTTGAGCTTCTTCCAGTAGTCGAACAGATCGCCTTCTGCGCGATAGAAAACCAGATTAAACTTGTTGAACTGTTCGTACGTTGCAAGCAAGGACACTATGTGTGGATGACTTCGCCCGCCACTGAATTTCATCAGTATGTCTATCTCTCTTTTATAAGCGTCGCGATTCTCATCGTTAATTTGCTGTTTGATGGCGAATCCGCGTTCGCAGAGCCGCTTATCACGGAAATTGTGGTGATCGGAGGGTATGTTCACCATGATTACCTTGCCATAACCACCAGTCTTGTCAACGGACTGACCGAGTGTATTTTCTGGGGGGAGAAAAGGGAGAATATGCTGGTCTTGAAGTTTGTAGTTTTTCACTACACCGTCATCATCGGGTGGCGAGAAGTATGTCGCAAGTAGCCACCATTGATAGCGTTGAAAATTCTCAAGCTTTAATGGCGACCACCCTTGGAAGCAACCACGAGGAACACAGATTTCACCGCCTTTGCGATACAGCTCGCTGGTTCGTTCGTGTTTTCCGAGGGGTAGATCTTGATCAGTGACTTCCTCTGTCACGAAGTGCACGATAGAAGGGACAGCTTCGATTAGCACCAGGAGTGCAAATATCTTACGGAACGTCGTGATCTTGGTCGTTCGATTGTGTCTTTGATCCTCCGTTTCTTCGCAAACTGTCCTTGCGTAGGACTTGATTTGCTCGGGTGAAAGTCGCGGGTGGAATTGCGCTGCAGTTCTTGTTAACTCTCGCGTCACCGCGTCGACCGTTATCACATGACGCAATTTGGCCTTGGAAACGAATGTCTCGACCTGGCCCTCGTTGTCTCGTGTACTCTGGCGTGCATCCATGATCTCCTGTTGTAGCTCATACCTGTCGCCTAAAGGTGGCAACGAGGCTAACGACTGCGCTAGGTCCTCGTCGAATGAGTCTTCTGGGTGACGAAGAGTGCGTTCTTCATGCAATTGCTGTTGATCACCAGCGTCTGAGATATTTGTGACGCTTAATTTGGGTGAAACCAAGCGATGCCGAAAAGCCGGGGGGCCTAGCGACGACGTATAGCCGCGCTCGGGATTCCATGGCTCTTCTGAGAAGGAATGGGAATGGCCGAGTGAGGCATGCTAGAGAGAGTCTGGTTAGAAAGGCTCAGCTATGAGTTCTCAAGATGAAGCATACCTCATCACTTTCCCAATGCGCATCTTCCGCTCCTGCTTCTGTGTCATCGTCGAGCAGGGGAACTCCTGTTGGCTGGTGATCAATCCATGTTATGGATGAGGAAGGCGAGCCACGATATTGCGGGGTCAGCCAGGCGTTCCCGTCCGGGTGCGAGTCACAATCGAATGACTGTGACTTACGAAAAGACTCAGGGCTGTCGTCATCATTTACACTACCGTCCGATGACCTATGGAAAGAGTCACGACGTGGCGTGTTGTATGAGGCTATCGAGTGCTGATTTGGGCCAAGGCCATTGTCGCTCGGGCAGTGACCATCGGAATCTGGTCGAATCGCAGGCGGTGGCGAGATAGGCGAAGATCCCAGAACAGGAAGTGACAAACCAGGTACCAACACGTCAGACAATGACTGATTCGATATAGATTCTTCCTCTCTTGCTTCATTCGGCGGTTGCGAGTTTTGGGTTTCGGGTTGAGCCGTACGTTGTTCTGTGCCCTGTAGGCTTAGAGAAGCGGGGACTTTGACCGGACTCCGACGCGCCTCGTTTGGTGGGGCATCTGCCCTAGACACGCGCAGAGCAAAGGGAGGCATTGTCCACTGCACAAAGACAACTGTCTGAGTTTTGAAACAGCCCCTACGGCGTATCGCTTTGTTATATGTGGATGCCTCATGAAGGACCTTGAGCCGCACAAGGCTGAGCGGTCAGTCCTGTGTGGTAATGGCCCATCCTCGAGTCCAGTACCTGCAGTGCCTGGGGCTGTCAGATGTGGCTGCTTCACAGCCATCATAATTTAGACGGATGCAGTTGATTCGTTCCACAATGTCTCAGCCGGTGAGCTTTTTGGGTGACATCCCGAAGTGGGCGCAGCACTGGCGAACCGACGTTCGCTGCCTAGGAGAGCTCGTTGAAGTTTGTGGGCACATGGACAGCACAGCCGCAGCTGGATCGGGGCAATGCATGCGCCCTTCAGCCTGCTCGCAACCTCACGACATGTGTGTAAATACTCTGGTGACGTCCTTCGCGAGGTGGAGAAGAAAAGGACAACAGCTTTCTTCAAGACTCCTCTCTTACCACTGAAAAGAGTATCAAAGCGACATCAATGTCAACATCCAAACCAATCGCATACGTGAAGGTAGCAAGGCCTTCGATAAGAGATTACGACGAGGACGATGATCTGTCGGATCTTGAAGATGCGCAATCGATATCGGGGAGTAACATCGACCCTGCGAAGTTGGCAGCACTTCTGAGGATCAAATTCGGGGCAGGAACCTATGATATACATGTGAGTAGGACTAATCTGGCGGTATTCGTAAACCTTTTGATCAAGAACTGACGAGCATCGTAGATGATGCAGAACTCTTACTGTATCATCGCGCCGCGAAAACTTTCAAGTGTAAGTCAAGAATCTGGCTAGAAACACTCCGGTATCTAACGCGCAACAGGGAGAGATAGCTAGATGCCAAAGAAGAAGATGAGGACGATGAGTGGCTGCCTAAGCGTCTCGTAGATGTGAGAGCCGCTCGCCGGTTCAGGTAAATGGGAGAGTAAAGCCCGGTAGGACGCACACAACGTGCCATGATAACGGAAACGCGGGTATTTCGACAGGGAGGCGTGAGAACTCCGGATGACGCTCATGGCGATTCGTGTCTTGCAGCCTTGTGTCGACGAACGTTTGGGGGGAAGACATCATAGTTTGCCGGAAAGCGTATCAATCGATCCTTCAACTTTCGGACCTTTTGACCAAGGCGCTAAGACCATCATGATGCCACCTTCCTGCCCATATACATGACTCAATTGGTGGGCACATGATCACGTTTCGGCCTGAGAGGAAAACACCCTTTGTCCATGGCTGCATCTGGCATGTTATGTATGTCTTTGAACCGGATCGACTATGAGTGCCACGGCGGCATTTCGCGTCGCGCCGGGATCTCCACATATTTCAACGGTCATCCACGTTGATGATGCGTGTATGTATAGCGATCAACGGCGCTACCTAAATATAATATTGGCTTTCCTTTCGCCTGAGCTGACACCAAACGGACACGAGAACAAGGATGAGGCGCTGCATGCACCGCCCACTTTATACGGCCAGCTTCTCAAAGACCCCGGCCGAGAGTCATCCCCAGATCTGTCCGGCGCTTCGGGTATCGAGTTTGCAACGGCGATGGATACAGCACACAACCCCAAGACCTGTAAATTTCCCGTGCCGATCCCTTTGAAATGATGCGCAAACCAGGCGAAACTGTGATAGGTTTTAAAACTGGCGCCGAATGCAAGCGCCGATCTCCCGCGCCAGTGTCTCACATAGCAACGTCTGGCGCGTCGCCATTGGCCGGAGCTTGGATTACGCGGATGTGGCTATGCCGGTTTCACTGCGAAGCTTGATACATCACTCCCCTTTCCTGCTGCGCGCCACCAACACCCACTGCAACCGCACCGCCGACCTACTTTTGCCCAGCGTTCCTTCTCACCACCTGCGCTCCCCATACGTCGTTGGGCGATAGCGATAACGCATTCTCACGACCTCACTTTCGTTTTGCGCTTGGACCTTGGACGCGCAGCAGTCACGCCCCAACCTGGCCTCCTAACACGGCGACTCCTCCGCGGGAACCCGCCAGCACATTTTAACCCTCCGCGATGTGGTTCCGCAAACGTGAAAGCGACATTGAAATGTCGGGCATGATGGACGGAGCACCAAAGAAAAAGAAGTCGCAAGGCCCGCCAGAAGAAACAGAGTACCAGAAGTTTGACTGGAAAAGATTCTTTCTCGCCCCTAAGTACATCCGTAAGACCACGCCGCCGCCCATGCGACCACGGAACATTTTTGGCTGACTCAGCATATAGCATGGCACATATTGTTCATCGTTATCGGTATCTTGACCGTTATCATCACGATAAAACACGACGCCGTCGTTGAGGTGAGTCTTCGGTGTTTTGCCTTGGGGCCGACGAACACGTGGCTAACGGTGTCTGTGCAGAAATTACGGCCGTGGTCCGAGAAAGTGCGAGACCTACCAGCAGGATGGCTAATCCCCATTGCAATTCTTATCATTATTTCTTTCCCTCCTTTGTTCGGTCATGAGATCATTGCGCTGCTGTGTGGTGTCGTCTATGGACTGTGGATTGGGTTCGCCATTGTTGCGGCAGGCACATTCATTGGCGAAGGTAAGCCTTACCATGTCATTACAACTCCATGCAATGCATACTAACATCCTAACCAGTCGGCACATGGTACGCTTTCAAGTACGCCTTCCGCTCCAAGGCTCTCAAACTGGAGCGCACCAATCTAAACTACGGCGCTATGGCCCGTCTAACGCGTGACGGTGGCTTCACCATCGTGCTGGTAATCCGTCTGTCCGCCATTCCAGCGCATTTTTCCACCGCCGTATTCTCAACCTGCGACGTCAAATTCTGGCATTTCGTCGTCGCTACTTTCCTTTCTCTGCCCAAGCAAATTTTCCTCGTCTACCTCGGTGTACTGCTCCTTCAGGAGAGTAACGACGACGTAATCAAGACGGTCATGTTCGGCGCTATCTTTGTTATCACTATTGCCATGGGTATCTGGATCTACATGAAGATGCGCGTGGTGAAGAAGACACTCTTGGAGGAGCAAGAGCTCAGAAGGGTCAAGAAGGCCGAAGCCGTCGAGCTGGTACCAAATGTTGAACGTGCGTTCGATACGCAATACGACGAGGGGCCTCCGATCTGGTCATCTATGCAACCAACGCAAGTCAACCGACCAACAGAGAGGAGATATGACGAGGACCCTCCGGAGTGGGCCATGCAGCCTACGCAACCCACCAGAATGCTCTGAGCGTAATTGTTGATTGTATCATACATAGACTGTTATATTCTTAATGCCATAATGAAGTTATGACCCACATGGGTTTAGTATGCACAAGACACTCAAGGTCAGATCTGACAGTCACTTTGGCCTGCTAACCCCACTCCTAGGTGGTATATCGAAACCACGGCACGTTATCGGCAAGCTCCCGCTCCAACGACTTCTGCTCCTCGGTCAACTCCTGCGCCCCAGCTTCCAACGCAATCCTATCGCGTCTCGCGTTCTCCATCCGACACCACGTCGACATGAAAAACGTCAGGAAGAACGCCATGCTACCACACGTTAGCTCCGCAGCACCGACATCATGCGATCTTACGATAACTCACCTAACGAATCCGATCAAGATGCTATGCCCAACGACAAACCTAGGCCCATCACGCGACAAATAGACATAACTCGCAATGATACCTCCACAGTTCCCACCCATAACCTGCATAGCAATACCTGTCCCCCTCTTCAAGCTCCCCCCAATATTCCCACTATTCCACGCCATCCCCAGCGGAATCTGCGGATAAATGCCAATAGCCGCCAGCACTGTGCCCGCATACTGTATACTGGGCCTCCCCGTCGCAGCAAGCATAGCAAAGCCCGCAATAGCCACGACCTGGAAGCCCATCAAGAAGACACCGCGTTTCTTCACACGATCAGCATACCAGCTCGCAGCAATAGTGAAGAAACATGCGCAGACGTATGGTGGAACGGACATGAGTTGTGCGTCGTTGGCCGTGTAACCCATATTCTTTATGATCGTCGGGAGGAACAGGGCGAAAGAGTAGATGGGGCAGAAGCCCGCCATGCAGATTAGCATAAAGATGTATATCTTCCAGTCTGTGAGGGCTTGGTATACGTATTTCATGTCGAAGTCGTTGGAGAGGTGGCCGTGGTCTGCGTGGAGGCGGCGTTGGACTTCTGTGCGTTCTTTGGGGGTGAGGAAGCGGGCGCTGCGTGGGTGTTAGATGGGTGCGAGTGAGGAACGAGGAGAGGACTGACGTTTCGGGGTAGTCGTATATACACCAGTATGCTATTGTTGAGACGAGGATGCTGAGGAGGCCTTCTAGGATGAAGATCCTTTAGTCGTGTTAGTGGGTAGACTCTTTGATCTTTTTGTAAGTGATGATGTTACCATGCCCACGCGGCTTTTCCACCAACGCCGGACATCTCGGCGATGCCGCGGGCTAGGACGCCGCCAAAGGCTCCGGCGAGCG